GGAGGGAGGGGAAGGGGAAAAGGGAAAAGGGAAAGGAAAGGAAGAAGGAAGGAAAACAAGAAATTTTCAATTATAAGAGAGACCATGTAATAATGTTAAACAGAAGAAATGAGGAGAGATAGCTACAATCACTCTAGAAGCAAAAGTAAACTCACATAAGAAATCAATCTAGAGGATACTATACATGTGCACATGCATTAAAATGTTACATAGGGGGCTGAAGCGCTAACTCAGGGGTTTAGAGCACTGGCTGCTCTTGCCAAGGACCCACATTTGGTTCACAGCAACAACATGGCAGCTAACAACTGTTTATAATGCTGGTTCTAGGGGATTTGATGCCCGCTTCTGGTGCACTTACATACATGCATGCAAAACACACACATAAAATAAAATTAAAAAATCAAAAAACATAAATATGTTACATGGTACCCCATTAATATTCTATGTGTCTGGAGGAAGAGGTTCATGAGCCAGCACCCCTAACTGAGGAGGTGTTGAAGCTGATGGCTTCTGGGGAAAGAAGAGTCAGTTTTAGACTGCAGCCTCAGTAGGTTGACCGTGCTCTAGAGGATAGACCCACACCCATGAGTACATTGTAGCACAAATTGGACTAGATAGGTTATTTTTAAGGGAGAGGGTAAGGCGGTGGGAGTGGATCTCGGAGGAGTTAGGGGAGGAATGGGGGTGAATATGATCAAAATACATTGCATAAAATTCTCAAAGAATAAAGTATTACATAAATAAACATATGTACAAGTTTTATTTTTAAGTATGTTAAAAATAAATGATAAGAAATTAGAAGCTAAAAAGGCATATCCTAACTTATTTCCAATAGTGTATAGAGGGTATATTTTAGCTTCTTAATTCTTTTGGTTGAGTATGATATCTAGGAGGACGGGCACAGGCCATCGAATTCAGGCACTATGTATCCCTACCAACTGCAAAAGGAAAGTTAGATTTTTTTTTCTTTTTTTTTTTTTTTTTACCAAGAAGAAAGTGTCAAAAAAAAATCAAAGGCACCCGAACACTTAGCTGTGCTTTAACAGTCATTCTGAGGATAAAAGGTGGATTTGAGACTGGGGGGAACTGAGAATGAGAAAATATGTTTTTCCCTCTTTATATTTGTCACCATTTCAAGGGCTTCTAGAATATGAGGTCTCGCCTACATTTGACATGAGTTCCAAAGCAGCCCCACCCCCAACTAATATAATCCATCTATCTCAGAAGATAACTCAGGTTTGAAAGGCTCATTTTGAGTCCTCTTGGTATTTTACTAATTTTCTAGTATCTCTATATGATCTGAGGCTAGGACTTGTTCCAAAATGTGAGATCAACCCAACAGTCTGTTAACCATGGATACCTACTTTGCCTCACCCACATTAGCCAAGTACTCTCCACTGAGCTACATCCCCAGGACCCCCCACAAACAATGTTTATATTAGTTTTCCATAATAGCATAAAAGTCACAAGACAATTTTTACATCACCCAAAGATCACAAAATATCAAATTTTGGGATTCAGAGATATTCATGGTCTGGTTTTCACTATGCCTGAAACTGCTGTTCTACATTACCAAAATACAAAATATTTTGTATTAGAGTGTAACAGCTTCCCAAATGATTGCTTATCACAGAAGGGCTGCCTCCTCCTGTACATGTTTTAGTCAATTCCTCTGCCTTCTTTAAGATAACCTGTAGTGCAGCTGGTCCTCAGCAGATTTCCCATCCCTCTCCTTCAGGTCTGTGAACATACTTAGTCCTATCTCTAATCATTGGCAAGATGTTTTGACTACATCTCAGATGGTAGTGTGGGCAATGTACTAAAGTTAAGGACTGTGGAAGAGAGAGACTTGGAAGACTCCCTAGGCTTTCCATATACACCATGATTCCTCCTTGCAATCAATCCCTCTGCAGGTTAGGCCATTGGTAAACAGAATGCTATGAATGAAACCAAATGACTCTCTGGACCAAAACAAGAACTCAAAAATTTCACTGTCAACTCAGAGTCGTAGGCCACCACCACATCTTTATTTTTTTCTGCCAGTGACTACTTAACAGGACATTTATCTCAATGCTGTATACCCTAGGAGGCGCTATTAATCAGACCCATCTCCAAGTCCACTGTGAGAGAGGCAGGCATAGTTCAGGCCTTCAGGCATGCCAGGAGGGCAATAAGCCACTTGTTCTTGGCAGAAATCTTCATCTGCATGTGGTTGCTTCTCATCTTTCCTCAGACCACAGGACTCAGATTCCTTGGAACCTAAAGGACCCTCAGAATTTTCATCACCTTGGCTGCATTCTGTGGCAAGTACCATATAGTTTAACCCTTCTCGGTTCTTGGTTTCCATTAAAGCAACTGGAGTAACATCATTTGAATTCAGAGCAACCACACTGTCATCATTACCTGTGAAAAAATACAGGCGTCATTCCAGTATCTAATTTATTTTATTTGTAATAATATACAGGCTGTATGAAAACTATGACAACTTCAACTTTATATAGTTTTTAAGCTAATATTTATGAGGACAACTATAATAAAGTGAAACAACTAAAGACAAAAGTAAATAGAGTATGCTCCCTATTCTAGAATGGAATAGATAAATATCTATAGAAGATGATGTCTAATTAAATAAAGGACTGTGTAAGATACCATGATGCCACTGAGGTGACTGACTTTCCTTAAATAGAGGGAACAGGTCCCTGTAATTGTAATAAAAATTAGATAGCCTCAGGTATCTTTTGTCTGTTTTGATCTATTACAGCAACTGAGTACCTACCTTTGAAGGTTTATTCCTTGTATTTGGTCATTTGTATTTGCTATTTTGAGTAATTTAGCTGCTTTTTTATTTATTATTTTATTTTATGTGTGTGAGTGTATTGCTTGCATGTAGGTAGGTGCACCCATGTCATGCAGTGCTCGCAGAGGTCAGTTCCCCTGGAACTGGAATTACAGACAGTTGTTAGCTGCTGTGTGGGTGCTAGGAATTGAACCTGGGTCCTCTGCAAAAGCAGTCAGTACTCTTAACCACCAAGCCATCTCTCCAGCCCCATTTTAAAAAATATTTCCTTCTTTCTTATTCTTAGATGGGGTCTTGCTATGTAGCCCAGACTGGCCATCAACTTGATCTGATCCTCCTACATCATGCCAGGCTAGTAATTACTTGTTAAATTAATATATTTTAGTGCCTGCCTACTAGAACTCAGGCTGTATTCTATATGTCTATAATATATAGAGAGTTGTTGCTCTTTGGAGTTTACATTCTAATAAGAGTCAGGCAATAAACAAGTAGACATGTAACTCTCTGTCAGGTGATGATAGTCAGTATGGAGGGCAATCAGAGTAAAGATCAAGATAATAACAGGGTGAAAAGGGAATGCCATTTTAAATAGAGTTTCAGCAAAGTGTTCATGAATGAGGTAAAATTCTAGCAGAGGTGTAGATTAAATAAAGGAATTCTTCATGTAGCTATTTCAAGTTTTTGTTTGTTTCATTCTTTGTTTTCTTAGACACAGTACAGGGCACTGAACCTAGAATCTCACTCATACTTCCCAGGTGATCTACCACTGAACCACATCCCCAGCCCTTTCATAATTTTTAAATATAAGGTCACCCTAAATTTCCCAAGCAAGACTTGAACTTGTAATCCTTCTACCTCAGTCTCTCAAGTAGTGGGATTTCAGGCATATGCCACTCAATTTTCTTTAGCTCTGTGTAGGCTCCAGTACCATGTGACTATTTTAAAAGAGCACTGAAGGGAGAGAGAAGAATAAGAACAAGGGTCCAGAGGCAGGAGTGTGCTGGATGAAGGAACAACCTGGAAGCCTATGGGACTGGTCCTCTTTAGCTGTGCTTGTGACCACACAAAGGAGTGGATGCATACTTGGCCAATTTGGATGGGAAGAGTTTGCAAGAAGGAAAATGACATGAAATATATTATTATGACTTTGCTTATTTTAATCCTTATAGAGCCCTTGTTATAAAGTAGAACATTCTGTTATCTTCATGTATTAACTCTTTTTTCTCTATTAATTAGTTACTATTATTGTCTGCACTGAAAAAAAATGAGGAAAATTAGTTACCCAATAATTGGCCCAGGCCACACAGCTAGCATAAGTGTGTGTCCTAACAGTTTCCCTCTCTGAAGGTGTGTTAAATTTCCATGTTGTGTGAGAAACAGTGAGTACAGTGTGCCCTATAGAGGTCCCTGGGAGGCATAAAGGGTGTGTGTGTGTGTGTGTGTGTGTGTAGTGACTGCAGAAGCAGGATGTCTGAAGGTGATTTATCTTCTGCACAATTACACTCAGATTATTCCATCTTTTCTTCTTAAAGGCTGATATTCCTATATAAAAAAGTAAAAGTAGCTTGTGGGACTCTAATAACAGCTTCTGAAACAAAATTCTAAAAAATTCAAAAAGATCAATGCACAACAGTAACATAGAAAGCCTAAATTATGGAAAATGTTATCAATGCTTTTCAATCTTTGCATATTCCTACTTAGATGAAATTCATGATCAGAAGTATTTCTGTCTTTCATGAAGTGACATTTTAAACATCAGAAACATTGCAATAAGTAAATGATGTTCCTTCCTCTCCTGCCAACACAAGGGCATCTAAATGCACTCCCTAAAGGAGGGAAGGCCTACTGGCCTGCCTACCTGCCAAAGGTTTGATGCCTTAGCAATGAACTTAAATTGAAGGGTGAGAAAAGTGAAATGATTTCATAGGGCTACAGTAAAATCTAAATCCACATCACACCCAATTTTTCTAATGATTTTTTAGGTAGATCCACATATTTATCAGGTTTCACACCTTACTGTTCTGCTCTTTCCATTCTGTAAGAGCACATGAACCACGTCCCAGCCCTGTATGCTGAGGGGTGTTATTTCCTTTGAAAACCTGGAACACTCCTAAAGTACTAGATGGCCAAGCTACAAGCTCATAGGCCTCTTGACATCATCTAACTTTCTTCTTCATTTTCAAATATCATTACAGCATATTCCAAAAAGTGAGACCCTGCTGCAAATTTCTCCCTTATACTGCTGTGCATCTGAGAAAAATCATTAGCGAACTACTTTATTGGTTGAGAATACTTACAGCAATATTTAGTAACTTGACCCTGGCAAGCTTTCAGCAATTAATACATCTTGTTGCATAAAGAGCTTAAGAGAGACAGTGGTGATGGGAGAGTCTGTTTTGTTTATTTTTGTTAAAAATTTATTTACTAGAAAGCCTACAGATCAGACCATAGGCAGATACTCTGAATAAAGACATGCCTTCAGCAACCTCTTCAAGAGGGAAATATTAAAATAAAGACTTCCAAGTAAGACAGGGTATTTACAGGCGAGACATATGCCGGCTGACTGGCTATGTTTAGAACAGCACAGGAGCATTTAGATTTGTTTCCTGTGGAACTCTCTGGGACTGATGAGGTGATGTTTATACAAATGTTTGGATGAAGTCACTGGGATATTTTTACTAGATGCTCAGATATGTTACTGATCTTCTCTCTATTCCCTCTCTGCCCCATTAGGTCAGTAGGACCATAGACTAGCCATAGCATTATTGTTGCAATTCTAAGGTGTTTTATTTAAAACTGAAAAAATCCCTTCCAGGGATTCCCTGTCATCTTATATGGCCCCCACAGTAACAAAAAAGAGACACTTAACTTCTGTGTTAAATATGTTCCCCAGTCTGCAAAGCAGCAAAGTATTATTAAGCACATTCTTTTGTATAAAAAAGTAATTACATCCAGGCTTGCCTTGCAGGAGCTGTTCCATGACTTCTGTCCCTTGAAACTATACCGACTCTGCCCTTGATTCTTCCTTATTCTCCCCCTCTTCATGGTCAAAGTTTTAGTGATTCCCATATTTCTTCCCATTCCTTCCTTATCTTTGCGATATGTATTAATTGCAAATAACAGAATGATGATTTCCCTTTTACTGGTTATATTTGTCATAGGCCAGGATTGATTTCTAAATTATCATAGTTTGATTCTATTTCCTGCTAAAACTTTTCCTACATCATTGTTATGAACGTTTATGTCTGCTTCTCTGATTTTATTAATGATTTTTATTTGAATTTTTGAGACAAGTTCTCACAAAGTATCCTTAGATGGCCTAGAACTTACTATGTAGAGCAGGTTGGCCTTGAATTTCTGACAGTCCTTCCTGCTTCTGCCTCCAAAGTGCTAGGGTTGCAGGCATGCATCACTACACTGGGTTTTATTAATGATATTTATAACTTTAATTCTTTCTGCCTACATTTGACATCCACATCCACTGGGTATAACCAGAATAAAATGAAGTATCATTTCTACCAGGCAGTAAGTGATAAGTTCCTTTGTTCTGCCTGACTGTGCAGCCCATTACTGACAGCACAATCAGGGAGAGTACGTGAAGATTCCTTGCCACAGTCATGGTTCTGCAAAGGTCGAGAACAAAGGCTCGAGAGCAGAGCCAAACTCTGTCTCCACAGTATGGTGATGAGCGATTTGCTAAATATCAATTTTCTTTTCTGTAGAAAAAAATGATGACAATAATGATTCTTAGAAAGTCCATTGGGAGGATATGATGAACTAACCTACATAGAACAGTGAGAAGCACATAAAAATGCTAAAATACAAGTAGCTGGGGCTGTAACGAAAGCCTATCACAAGAGGGCTTTGTTCTGGACACTTGGTTTCAGCACCGTTTGCTGCCTATATCAGCCTCACAGAAGAACCACTGATATAATACAGTCAAGAGATTTTACTATGAACTTCTAAAAGTCTATGGAAACTTCTGGTAGAGCCTCACATAAAATTAAAGTCTCAGGACTATCATGGCATCCTCTGTGATTTTTATACAATATATTTAACATTCTGGAAAGCAATGATTTCATGACAAAAAAAGCTGGAATTTAGAATATAATGCAAATAGAACCCAGCAAGCTTTTAATCCCAGCACTTAGGAGGTAAGACAGGAGGATCGGAATTCAAGGTCATTCTCAGCTATACAGTGAGTCTGAGGCCAGGCTGGGCTACATACGACCCTGTTCCAAATTTTAAAGAATAATTAAATAAATAATAGAATACAGGCCCACTATAAGAGCCAAGCATCCCCCGGAGTGCCAGCTGTCTCTGCCCTGCTTGTCCACTTGCCTCTTTAGCAGCTCACTAGCCTTTGGGTTTCCATGACAATGTTGTCTTGGGGTCTTCCTCTTCCATCTTCTCCTGTCTATGCCCACCAACTTCCTTTGCCCATTTCTCATATTCTTATGTACCAAATGGTACATTTTTTTCAGGAAAACATATAAATAAAAAGATATTCATTAAAGTCGGGGCTGGAGAGATGGCTCAGCAGTTAAGAACAATGATTGTTCTTGCAGAAGACCCAGGTTCGAATCCCAGAACCCACATGGCAGCTAACAGCTGTCTGTAACTCCAGTCCCAGGAGATCTGACAGCTTCTTCTGACCTCCACGGGCACTGCATGACACGGGTACACTTACATGCAGGCAATACACACATACACATAAAATTAAAAAAATAAATAAAAATTTTTAAACGTTTTAAAAAAAAGATATTCATTAAAGTAATTAGAATAGTTGCCAGGCCAGGGCAGAGAGGAAGTAGAACCAGAGAAGAATATAGGGGCAAGAGGACTAAACAAATAAACAGATAAGAGAGAAGCCCTGCAGAGGCCAGTGATGATACTGTGCCATAAACAGAGGTCTATAATTAGCTAAACTCTGCACTTAAGGTCCAACTGATGACAGGTGAACAGACTCAAGAAAAACAGCCTAGCATGTGAATTCTCCTCTTTACTACCTTAGATATTAAGTTCAGGGGCCATAGTATGATCTTTTAAAAAAAATTTAATATACATTGTAAAGTGTTTTTCAAGTAGGAATACAATGAACAGTTATGATAATGATGGTGCCAGTATATTATTAGTTGTACCTACCCAGTGATACTGTCTGTGTAGATTCCATTTTAATGTTGTTCAGTCACACTAAGGAGAAAATTCTGGAGAATCAGACTCACCTTCAAAGCCTTCATTGACGGCCCCACTGGCATTTGGCTCATAACTGCACTGAGAAATATCACTTAAGGAAATATTTCTGAAAAATAACTGAAGCTGGTCTTGAATTTTACAGAAAGTGGGTCTTTGGTCAGGTTCTTGTGCCCAGCACTGGCACATTAAATTCCACCTGGATGTGTAGATAAAGATGAGAAAGAGAAAAATGATAGGATGTCATTAGTGATAACCTGGTTGCTTGTCACAAAGAGTGAGTTGGTCCAAGTCACTCAAGAGCAGAGCCAAAGACATAAATGAACAGAGCAAAGATTTGCTTTTAAAAGGAGGTCTAATATTAATACCTTTAATATATAACATCCTTCTTTTGAAAAAGTGACATCTCATCTGTGATTAATCCAAGTCAATAGATAGATAAATGAATGATTCGAAATTTCTACTCAAGACATCAGAGAACTAAGAGCTATAAAAACCCCTAAAGAAGAAAATATTTTTTAACTTTAACTTTACATAAGTATAACAAAATCAAGGATAGGCTCCAGTCTACAGAGACACATAGTGGCAAAATGAGAGATAAAAACCAAATTTGATCCTGGAGTTTTTACTAATTACACTGCTAACTCGGAGACTCAGTTCCCCAGACATTCATAGCAGGGTGACTGAATTGTCTTTTTTTTAAATGACCGTCTAGGAACTGTCAGGATAGCACCCTTAACTAGTGTTCATTCATTCACTGTATATGGATTTATTGGATACTTATTTTACAATAGACTATTGGAAGCGAGGAATTGCAGTTGTGTGGCCCTTGTCTACAGAGGTGGCATGTACAGTACATGGAAAATACACAGTTTTTCACACTACAATTCAAATGAGTAGGGAGAAAAAAATTAACTCTCCAAATATTGTCTATAAATTTTTTTTCCAGAGTTCCTGCCTAGCAGAAGAAAATGACTTCATTTAATACAGTGTGATATATAATCTAGTTTAGTTCACCATCTTAAATAGTCCTTCTAGGTAATGTTCATATTTCTCTACATAATAACTCAGTCTGTCTTATTTCCATACTATTCCCACCCCTTTCCACACATCCCAACCTTCTTTCCAAAATAGTATCAAGATATATACCAGGAAAGAAAGCGGCTTATGTGATGTATAGTGGGACCATTTGGGATGGTCTATCTATGTACTCTGGATCTTTGCTGATCTCTGTGGCTGATCTGGAATTCAGTCAGGAGTGACTAGTCTCACCCACCCTGCATGCATCCGTGTCTACCAGGCCTCTGAGAACTCTGCCTGTTCTTGGGGCTTGTCCTTGTGGAGCAGGCCTTCCCTTGTCTCTAACTCCAGGTTTCTCTGTGACTTAGTCATATCCTGAACCTATAAACAGGTCTCAGGAAAACCAGGCCTGTTTGTACTGCATGCCTACATGGGGCTTCTTGGCTATATCTAACTCTCAACAAAATATTCAAACCAGATGGGAAACAATGAAAATCTGGAACTATAGTTCAACTTTCTCTGTCTAGGCATGTCATTCCACCTTCTTTCTTAAATATTCTATGTATTATTTTTAATTTTTGTGTATGAATATATTGTCTATGTGTATGAAAGTGTACCATGTAGCGCATGCCCAAAGAGAGCATAGGATTTCCCTGGAATTGGAGTTAAGTCAGGTTGTTAGCTGCCATGTGGGTGCTGGGAATCAAACCTGGGTCCTTTGCAAGTGCTCTCAAGTGCTGAGCTGTCTCTCCAGCCCACATTCTACCTTCTTAACAACGATGGAACTTTCTATGTCAAAATGGGTCAATGATCTCGTCGTCCTCCCACAGGGGAAGGCAGTGGGTCGTTCACAGCCTTGGTGTTGCCTTTCTAATGACTGGAAGCCAACAGAGGAGGCCCTAGGACCTAGAGCCAATACCTTCACCCTCTGCCTCTAACTATGAAGTTCTCTTCCTCTTCTTCTTCCTGTCACCCATAGCTTAAAAGGTGTCTTCATTTGTTTCTTCATTGCTGTGACAAAACACTCTGACCACTACAAACTTGGGGAGGAAAGGGTTTATTTATCTTACATTTCCCAGGTCACAATTCATCAGGGAGCCCAAAGTAGGAACTCAGGGCAGGAACCTGGAAGCAGGAGCTGGAGCACAGGCCATGGAGGGATGCTGCTTACTGGCTTGCTCCCCTGGCTCCTGCTCAGCCTACTTTTTTTATGCAACAACAGGCCCACCTGCCCAGGGGTGGCACCACCCACAGTGGGCTGGGCCCTCCCACATCACTCATCAAGAAGATGCCCCTCAGACATGGCCACAGGCCAGTACAATAGAGGCAATTCTCCAATTGAGGCTCCCTCAACCCAGGTGTGTCAAGTTGACACTAAAGCTATCCAGCACAAAAGGGTTCATTCCTCACTTCATTAGACTATCTTCATAGTTTTATTCTGTTACAGTTGTTCAACCTGGTATTTCAGACAACGAGTAGCTAAAGGATCACTCTCTCACCTCCATTCTTGCTTTTCTAGGCTACAGTCATGAAAATGATCAACCTCTTTCATCTTTTTGATTTTCTAGAGCTATGAAGCAGATTGGAGATGAATAAAGGGGTAGATAAATAAGCATAAACTGGGAAGTGTTTAAAAGTATTAGTACTACCACTTCAATAGAAAAATATGTAATTAGAATTGCATTAAGTTCTTCAAAAAGTACAAAAGAAGATTAGCATAAGTTCTAATAAACATGGAACATTTCTGGTGAATTGCTCACAAAGACCCCTTCTGAAGAGATGACACTTAAGCACAGGTACTTGTGGGAAAGTAAGATGCTAGTCATGGGAAGAGGGTATGGTTGGAAGTCAGGGAGCACATTGCAAGAGGGAAAAGAGTTTGTAGAGTCCTAAATTTAGAAAGAGTTGGGCATGGTTTAGAACCTGAAAGAAGTCAGGGGCATGACTGAAAGTGCAGCCAGGGAGGGGAGAGAAGGAAATGACATCAGAAGGCAAAGCAGGATCAAGCAGGTCTCACAGGCTACAGAAGTAGAATCATGCAGGTCTCACAACCCAGGGAAGCAGGATCAAGCAGGTCTCATGGCCCAGGGAAGCAGGATCAAGCAGTTCTCACAAACCAAGGAAGCAAGATCAAGCAGGTCTCACAGGCCAGGGAAGCAGGATCAAGCAGGTCTCACAGGCCAGGAAAGCAGGATCAAGCAGGTCTCACAAACCAAGGAAGCAGGATCAAGCAGGTCTCACAGGCCAGAGAAGCAGGATCAAGCAGGTCTCACAGGCAAGGGAAGCAGGTTCATGCAGGTCTCACAGGCCAGGGAAGCAGGTTCATGCAGGTCTCACAGGCCAGGGAAGCAGGTTCATGCAGGTCTCACAGGCCAGGGAAGCAGGTTCATGCAGGTCTCACAGGCCAGGGAAGCAGGTTCATGCAGGTCTCACAGGCCAGGGAAGCAGGTTCATGCAGGTCTCACAGGCCAGGGAAGCAGGTTCATGCAGGTCTCACAGGCCAGGGAAGCAGGTTCATGCAGGTCTCACAGGCCAGGGAAGCAGGTTCATGCAGGTCTCACAGGCCAGGGAAGCAGGTTCATGCAGGTCTCACAGGCCAGGGAAGCAGGTTCATGCAGGTCTCACAGGCCAGGGAAGCAGGTTCATGTGGGTCTCACAGGCCAGGGAAGCAGGTTCATGCAGGTCTCACAGGCCAGGGAAGCAGGTTCATGCGGGTCTCACAGGCCAGGGAAGCAGGTTCAAGCGGGTCTCACAGGCCAGG